AACGCAACTGAATTTCTTTTATTACGAAGTTCACTCACACAACAAATATGTAATACTTTTAAATGGTAGATAATAATTTCTATCAAAAATATTTATGTACATACGTGTGAATCCAGATCTAATACACTAAAATATATATCATAAAAACAACAAAATAATCTATATTGAATTAAAATTTGTTATATATTTTTTTTAAAATATGAAACCCCGCACGTACGTGTGGGTCAGGATCTAGTTCTTAAGTAAATCTCTTCGCAGATAAATACAGCTACTTGTCTGTAGAATAAAACTCAAAAATACAACACAGAAATTATTATATGCAAATCTCGTAAGACTTGTCGACTATAATAATGATGATAAACGAAGGTATTTATAGCAGCTAATCCTCTTGTGTGATTATAAACACAAAGATGCTTTTTTGTTTTACTTAATTTGTTTTGTCAATCAACAATGATTAACAGAGAAGTGGACCAGAAAATTTTGGGAGTAATTTTTTAAGTTAATAAATATTTTAATGACATCAATTTTACTATTTTTGGAAGGGTTTAAGAACGGATTTGACACGAGTCTTGTTCATCTTCGTCGTCTACCTTCGTACGACGGTTTATTGCATCTTAGGCGGCAAAGCTTAACCCTAAATTCTCGCGTTTTCTACGGTGCCCGTCATGTGACTCCTGCGGCTATTCGGGTCGGATCCATCCCGGTTCAGAGTCTACTCTTCAGGGCACCGACTCAGCTAACCGGATGGACCCGGAGTTGGGGTCATCGTGTTTCTTTCTCCCATCGCAGTGACGGTCTCGATCTCTTATCTTCTTCACCGATTGTCTCAACTAACCCTACCCTCGACGATTGTCTAACGGTTTGTACAAATTTTATTCAAAATTCACTTTTTTTTTTTTTAAAGTTTATTTTGAAGATAATGTAGGACTCGATTAATTCCATTGGCAAAAGTTTCAGTATGATTTAGCGATTGGGAAGTTGAAAAATTCTTGTTCTGAGCTATGTGATCAAACCTTGCTCTTGTTTAATTTCAGGTTATAGCATTGCCATTGCCTCACAAGCCTCTTATTCCTGGCTTTTACATGCCAATCTATGTCAAGGTATGTTAGTGAAACTTAGCTACTCGTAATCTTAGTGAAAGAATGGATTTTGTTATCTTGTGTTCTCTGACCTGTATGAGCTTTTATTTGTCTAGGATCCTAAAGTTCTTGCAGCTTTACAAGAGAGCACAAGACAACAATCTCCATATGTTGGGGCTTTCCTTTTGAAGGATGGCGCTTCTACTGATTCATCTTCTTGCTCTGAAACAAATAATGTTGTCCACAAGTTTAAAGGCAAAGGGAAACCAAAAAAGAAAAGAAGAAAAGAGTTGCTTAACCGTATTTACCAAGTGGGCACTCTTGCTCAGGTACCCTCTTTCTGCACGTTAGCACTGTCTTTTCCTTTTGTATCTCTATCTGAAAAGACTTAAACCATTGCCAATTTTTCAGATTTCAAGTATCCAAGGTGAGCAAGTCATCCTTGTTGGTCGCAGACGACTTCGAATAAAAGAGATGGTATGTTAATGGAGAAACAGGCTTCGATTATCTCTCTACTAAAAGGATATGTGTCTTCTGTTTTATCAAGTTATGGTTCTCTCATTGAGAAAACCATGTTTTGTTTTTCTACAGGTGAGTGAAGATCCTCTAACCGTCAACGTTTACCATTTAAAGGTTTGTTTCTGTTTTTAAGACTTTCCTTTTATGAAATGTGGTTTCTATTTCCTTATGAAATTCTGGAATCTATAACCCTTGACCCTTGCCACGTTTGTTATTTCTATGCAGGATAAGCCATATGACAAGGACAATGCTGTCATCAAGGCAAGCTACGTCGTAGTTATCTCGATGCTTAGGGATGTCTTAAAGATAAATTCACTCTGGAGAGATCAAGTTCAGACATATACCCAGGCATGTTTGCTTCATATTTGACACTGCTTGCGAGTGCAAAATATGCCAACATTTCAGTATCTAAATAGATTTCTT